TGGAGCTTGCTTGGAGGATCATGGGACTTTCGCAACAAAGGTTGTAAGTACCTTCATTGGAGTCAGAAGCAGCTATAACTATAGTTACCATGTTTTTTATAGGCCCAGTTACTCTGTTCCATGATCCACCAAGTGAGGGTAGACCCCTGAACCCTAAACCCTCAGCCCTAAACCCTAAACCCTAAACCCTAAGCCCTAAACCGAGAGTTTGAACCTTAGGGCTGAGAATAGACGGGTTTCGGGTTAAGTCTGTACGAGAGCTCCTGAGGTTCTAAACTGAGTAGGGCTTCAGGGGTTTAGGGTTTATGGTTTTAGGGCTTAGGGTTTAGGGTCTAGGGATTTAGGGTTTAAGTTTTAGGGTTTAGGGTTTAGGGTTTAGAATTCAGGGTTTAGGGTTTAGGGTTTCGGCTTCGAGGTTTTGGGGTTTTGGATTGGAGGATTGGGCGTTTTCAGGGTTTCAGGCATGCTTGGACTTCGTGAGTCTACCTTACCACACTTGGGGATTACCCTAAAACCCTAAACCCTATAAGCCCTAAACCACTTCCTGCGCCCCTCACCCCCCTTTCTGTGAAATACTTCCAGAACCCGAGACTGAGCCTCCATCCCGTAACCCCAAACACACAACCCCAAACTGAAGAGCCCCGAATCCAAAACCCCCAAACCCCAAAACCTTAATCCAAAACTGAACACCGCAAAGCCATAACCCCAAGCCCAAAACCTAAACCCTCAGCCCAGAACCGGAAGCCCTAAACACCAGACCCTTGTGGTTTTAGGTGTTTAGAGCTGTAGGGTTTCAGGTTGTTGGGTTTTTAGAGCTTTAATTTAAGGTTTTAGGATTTCTTCCGGTTGTTGGACCTTTAGAGTAGAGACGGGCTTTATAGGGTTTAGGGTGTCAAGGGGGGGCATGCAGTGCCCCGTGCGCATGAGCATCCAGCGTCCCTGGTGTGCGCGCTGGTACCGTGGAAGGTCCAGTACGGCCGAGCGGGCCGGCATTCTGGCCGATACGCATACACGACTGGTCCTCTCGGTGCGGTGGGCAGGACTGGCATAACGTTCGGAGAATGCGTGACGGTGCTTTCCTCCTCCGTCTCAAAGCGCTTGGTCGTCGACGCGTATTCGAATCGCCCGGAGCTGGTCCGATGCGTTTCGACGGCATCCGAGCTTCGTCCAGAGGCTGGCCGAGCCGGCCGGCTCGCGGCGTGCGCAATCATGTCTGCGTGCATTGGGTCTTCCAGGTCGAGGACGCTCCGACTGGCGTTTGCCCCGCAGATGCGGATGCTTCGGACCTGGCGTCTTCTTTGCTGCAACTGAACCCTAAACCCTGAAGCCTAAACCCTGAAACCCGAAGCCTAAACCCAAAGTCCAAAGCACGAAACCGTAAACCCCGAAGTTCCCTGAAGCCAAAGCTCTAGCCCGCAAGCCCTAAGCCCAAGTCCTAAACCCTTAAAACCTAAACCCTGAAGCCGAAGCCCCAAACCTAAACCCTAAACCCTAAACCCTAAACCCTAAACCCTAAACCCTAAACCCTAAACCCTAAGTCCTAATCCCTTGAACCTAAACCCTGGACACAGGGCGCTCATCTAATCTAGAATGAGCCTCAGGAGTCCGAATCTGGGTTCTTGTTAAGGGATTTAATTTAAGTTACCATAATAGGGATCTATAGTAAATAATATGGTTTCCTTGTTATGGTAACTTAAATTAAATCCCTTAACAAGAACCCAGGAATTAACGAGGTTTCGGGCTGAGGGTTGGGGGGATGTGGATTTCGGGTGTAGGGTTTACGGGTTGCGGTTTTAGGGTTTGAATTTTTGGGGTTTTAGGGGTTGGGGTTTAGGGTTTTAGGGCTTTAGGGTTTAGGCTTTAGGGTTTGGGGTTTGGGGCTTTAGGGTTTTAGGGTTTAGGGTTTAAGGTTTGAGGTTTGCGGTTTTATGGTTTAGGGCTGAGGGTTGATTCTGCGTTTGAGGTTTGAGGGTTCAGGCCTAAACAGGGTGAGGGGGTTTAGTCTCAAACCCGGAACTTTAACAGCCCAGAATCTTAAAGCATCCTCGGACTCTTTGAAACCTTAGAACTCAACCGCAAACCCAAAGGGTTTAGGGTTTAGGGCCTAAATAATTACCAATACTATTTTGGGGGTTCTTTATCATCATTATAGCATGATATACCTCCCCCCCAAAACCCTGTTCTAATTATTAAGGCCCCTACCTTGGGGATTTTGGGTTTAGCCAACTTGCCTAAACCCTAAACCCTAAACCCTAAACCCTAAACCCTAAACCCTAAGCCCCAACTTGAAGCCCGCACATTTGGCAGCTGGTCCCTACGACCCACTTCCGCAGCTTCTACGACCGCGGGGACCTGCCCATCGCCATCCTCCATGGCTCCCAGGTTGTTCAGTGGTTTAGGGTTTAGGGTTTAGGGTTTAGGGTGTTCAGTGGTCAACGTTTTTGATGTTATTTTTAGGGGTTAGGGTTTTTTTCGCTAAGCTCTTTTTTGGATATCTGATCCCCAAAACATGTACTCTTCCCAGTGCGTTCCTGAAGAGCCTAGGCTCTGGTGGTTGGAAGACTGCCTGGAAGGCCGGGGACGTCTTTAGGCTCTTGACTCTTGGTCCATTTGCAGCGACGTCCTCAGAGTTTAAGGGTTCTCATAAGCATGGCGATGTTTTTTCTGAGTTTTGAAGGACGTCTTCAGGATTTGCCATAGGGGCCTAAATAATTACCTATACAGAATCAGGGGTTCCTGAGTATTACTATCGTATAACATACCCGCAAACCCGATTCTAATTTTCAAGGCCCCTATATTAGGACTTTTCAGGGACGTCGTTTTAAATAGTATTGGTGTGCGTGAAGGTTTGGGGCCTTGGGGATTGAGTAAAAGGGTTGGGGAGAGGGTTTAGGGTTTAGGGTTTAAGGTTTAGGGTCTGGGGTTTAAGGTTTAGGGTAGGGTTTCAGGTTTAGGGTTTAAGGTTTAAGGTTTAGGGTTTAGGGTTTTGAATCGTCATAGACCCCTAAAGCGCCCCGAGCCGATTCCTCAATTCCAGAGTGAAAATTCAGAATCTTAGGAGGCCGAAGCAACCTTACAAGGTTTAGGGTCTAGGGTTTGGGGTTTTTATGGTTTAGGGTTTCGGGGTTTTAGGGTTTTTTAGGGTTTAGGGTTTTCAGGGTTTAGGGTTTAGGGTTTAGGGAGGACTTTCGGTTCAGGTAAAGGTGAAGTTAAGCCCTAAATTCCTCAACTCTCAACCCCTTATAGTATCACTGCCTGCAGGAGCCGCTAAACCCCAAACCCTAAAGCCTGACCCTAACCCGCACAGGATACCGTAAGCGAGCCCCCCTAATAAAACCGCTGCAGCACAACCTGGAAAGCATTGGACAACGGCACGGAACGAGCTTGAAAAGATACAACAAAGCCTGAATCAGAAACACTCAACCCGAAGCCCGAAGGCCTAAACACAGCTGCCAACCTGAAATAAAAAAAGCTTTAACTATACAAATAGAAAAATTTCACATACAGCAGCATTTCAAACAAGTTAAGGGAAAACTTTAATAAACCTGGAGGAACTTGGACGTTCATGGGTAGTTATAATAGGGTTTATAAGTCGACTAATGTTGGGGTTTAGGGTTCAGGTTTAGGGTTTAGGGTTTTAATTCAGGCTTTAGTTTAGGGTTTAGGGTTTGGGAACCTACACCCTAAACCCTAAGCCCTGAACCCTGACAGGTGGATGTGGAACGGCTGGACTACCATCACTACCTGCCCATCTTCTTCGAGGGCCTTCGGGAGAAGGAGGACTCTCTTTAGTGTAGAGTTGTTATGGTTTAGGGTTTAGGGTTTAGTGTAGAGCTTTTAGAGGGAGTTGTAAGGGATTACGAGCCTGTTTCTATTGTGTCATTGCAGTTTTTTCGATTATTTGAGGGTGTTAGTAGGGTTTTTCGGATGTTGTAATAGGGGTTGACAATTTATAAGACATTGGCTGAAAAAGGGGCTATAGAAAGGTCTCATAGGTTCGTGTAGGTTTTTCAACGGTTTTTGATTTCGGATATGGTGGCTGGAGGTTTAGGGGATCACTGATGTTGGGGTGTAGGGGTTCCTGTAAGGATTCCGGTTGCTATTAAGGTTACTTGAAGGTTTTGGGGTTTAGGATGTAAGGAGGCAGGGTTTAGGCTTTCTGGGGCTTCAGTGTTTTTGTGACGTTTGTGAGGCTTCATATGAAGTGGGCACGTGGTTGGGAATGTAAGGGAGTTTCTAGCTCAGGGCGAAGGGTTTAGGATTCAGGGATTTAGGGCTTTTGGGTTTGGTGTTCAGCATTTGAGTTTCATGGATCAAGGTTCTCGTTTAGGGTTCAATCCAAAGTTCAGGGTAAGTTGGGTTAAGGAGTTGGTGAGCAGAAGGTGGAACTGCTGAAGCAGATGCTGTCACCAACTGAGTGGAGCAAAGCCAATGGCCGCTTCAGCACCTCCTAGAAGTCTGCCTGCTGTGCGGTAGGCGCACATCGGCTTGTGTCTGCCGGCTTGACATGGAATGACTGTTGGGACCTGCTTTGCATAGGCGGATCCGCGCTGGGAGGGCCTGCATGGCGTTCTTTTAAGCTAGCGGCTAGGCCATCCGCTCGATCCCTTCCCCTTGCGCGTCCGCGCCTGTACCCTCTAAACTGCCTTTAGACCCTTCCCTCTAAACCTTAAACCCTATACCCTAAACCCTAAACCCTAAACCTGAAACCAAAACCCTCAACGCGGAAACCCTGGGCTAAAAACCCTGAACCTTTCAATGGGAGGAACCCTACCGCTTCCTAGCCGTCTCCGCCACCTACGACATGTTAGCGCGGGGCGGCGCCCGAATTCTTCCTGTGGCGCCTCGGGCGGAAACATTCCGGAGATGCGAAAAGTCCGTCAGGGATCCGCGATATACTTGAGATGCCATGTATATATATATATATATATATGCAGAGATACTACAGGCATGTCTGTTTGTTTTTTGGTTTTGGATTTTTGAGGGGGTGTAGGGTTAACCGTCTGTGATGCTAATATGGGGACCTTTGCAGCTACAACTTGGATTTCGGAGTACATTACAGTGCAGCTAGAGAAGGACTTTAGTGATAAAATGTTGCTACTTCTTCCGACCTCTATACTGCCCAAGACTTAGAAGGTTTTGGGTCTATAGGGCTTATACGCCTAAACCCTAAACCCTAGACCCTAAACCCCAATCCGGTATAGGAATGAAGCTGAGAGGGAGGCCGGCCCACGCACTGTCTTTAGGTCGACTTCCCAGGTCGCCAAGCCAGTACTTCTCTGTAAAGGCCTCAAGCAGCAGGATCCTTAGTATGAGTCCCAAGCCCTGAACCCTAAACCCTAAACCCTAAACCCTGAACCCTAAACCCTAAACCCTGAACCCTAAACCCTACAGGTTAGGCCCTAAACCCTATGTAAGCCGCCAAGCCTTCCGGATGTACCCATTGGATTTTATTCTGGGCCTACCGGGCCTACCAGCCCTGAATCGCGACGACTTGGCTCGCCGTCCCGTCTTCCAGTGGAACCGGAGGCCCAGCTACTGCTTCAAGACGCCAACAGCAAGCAGGGCCCGTCTTGAGATTGACGCAGGAAAGCCGCTCAGAGGACGCAACCGCCCACACGCCTCTGCTGCAGGGCGAGGAACTACAACCGAGACGTGGTCGCAAGGCCAACCAACCAGATTCAACTGGGAAGGGAGGCAAAAAATCCGCTAGCGGGTGGAGGTTTGGGTTTAGGGTTTAGGATTTTAGGGTTAGGGTTTTAGGGTTTAGGGTTTAGGGTTTAGGGGTCCTGGAACAGTGATGTTCGAACTGGCAGCCAACCTGCGGATGATCGCAGCAGCAGCCAAGGAACTTGGTACCAGGCGGGCAGCGGGAAAGCCTAAACCCTGAAACCCTAAAACTTCCTAAAGCCCTAAAATCCTAAACCCTGAAAACCTAAACCCTAAAACTTCCTAAAACCCTATAATCCTAAACCCTGAAACCTAAACCCTGAAAACCTAAACCCTGAAACCCTAGACCCTAAAACCCTGAAGTCCTAAACCCTGAAAACCTAAACCCTAAGATCCCAAACCCTAATCTGCCACTGTGCAGACAGAAGCGACAGCTTTTGGGTCGCAGAGTCTCGGAATGTTGCAGCCGCTGATAATCAGAATTAGGGTTTAGGGTTTTGGGGCCCATGATACTATAAGTGTATTAAGGAGCCCCCACAATAGTATAAGTAATGATTAAGGCCCCTATATCTGACAATCGTGGAAGCGACACAGAGCCCTTAGAACAAACAGGGTGTAGGGTTTTAGGCTTTTTAGGGTTTAGGGATTAGGTGTTTAGGGTTCAGGGTTTAGGTTTTTGGGGTTTAGGGTCTTAGGAATTAGTTTTTAGGGTTTAGAGTGTTAGAGATTTGGGTTTTTTGGGTTTTGGGGATGTGTGGGTGTAGGGTTTAAGGTTTAGGGTTTTAGGGTTTTAGGGCTGTTTAGTTTAGGGTTTGGGGTTTAGAGTGCGAAGGTTGGGTTCAGAGTTAAGGGTTGAAGCCGTTGCTAGAAAGTTGATCTCCGATAGCTACACCCAAAGCCCTAAACCCTAACCCCTAACCTTTCAGCTTACGCTCAGCTCCCCACGAAAACTACAAACCTGACCCTAAACCCTAAACCCTAAACCCTAAAGAATATGACGTAGAAGCCTTCGGGCAGAAACCTGTTGACAGACACCTTCAGAAGAGAAGTTTCTTTTGTAAAATCCCTGAAGCTAAACCCAAAACTCTGCATTACGAAAAGCCCCAAAATCCAATGCCGCTCATCCCTAAACCCTAAACCCTAAACCGGTTATGCGGCTAACCCAGAAAGAGCTGCCAAACCCTCCTTCAGCCGAGGTTCCACAGCTGATCGTTCCAATGAAGGCGGCATTTAACACGAAGGACTCGGCGAAGTGGGGTGCCTTTGAATTTAAAGGATCCTTGAGGGCATCACCGTATTCAAGCAGTGGCGGTTAAGGGGTTTAGGGGTTTAGGGTTTAGGGTTTAGGGTTTAGCAATGGCAACAGAAGCTGCGACAGGAATGCCAGGAATCGGACCTGGCACTCTAAAGCTCTAATCTCATAAACCCTTGAAGCCTAGACCCCAAACCCCTAAATCCTAATGACAGGGCACGCCGGAGGCCTGCCGAGGCCTCACAGTCCTGTTCTTTGTGCCCATCCGACGCAGGCGGCACAAGAAGACAACTCCGATGGAACATACGTAGTACCCAGGGTGCTCTGGGGCATCTGCAAGGGACCTGTAGCGGCGGGTGGAGCGGACACCCGCAAGGAATATATCAGCAAACGATGGTAAGGAACCCTGAGTGAGTTAGGTTTTGGATTGTATATATCAAGAAACCATTATGAAGACCCTTAAGAAATGCATTCGTCAAGCATTGTAAGGAGCCCCAAGAAACTTGGTTCCTGGGGCTTGATAAAGCACTCCATTCTCCCGATCTCTCCTATACCCCAAACCTAAACCCCAGAGCCCTAAGCACTAAACCCAAAGACTCGCCCTACAACACTACTCCCTCCATATCATAAGCGGCCCTAAGCCCTACACCCGAAACCCCAAACCCTAAACCCTGAGCCCTCAACCCTAAATAGGGCCGCGATTCCAACACAACTCGAAGCCCCGAACTTACATAGTAGCCCCTCAATCCTCACCCCCAACCACAGTTTAGGGTTTAGGGTTTAGGGGTTTAGGGTTTTGGGTTTAGAACCCTCAGCCCTAACACCCAGAGCCCTCACGGTCCTGGTTCAAAGAGTCTAAGGTTGAAGCCATCAGGATCCTTCTGCACCTACTATATACCCTATATGTACCCTTAAGGGTCCCTAGAAAGGCTTAGGGGTCCATATCAGGGGCCCATACCTCTAACCTTTTAAAGAGGAGGGGTTGACTTACAATCTTACTTATCGTTATCAGGTCCCTTCTTCTCAAGCACGGCAACATGGGGGCTTCAATGCTCGGTAATGGTAGTTGCCAGGGTTTCTTTAAGGGTTTTTTCTCGCAGGTTCCAAAGAATTTTTCTCCACAGGTTCCAAAGAGCTAGTTAGTTGGGCGGTTTAGTAATAGGGGCCTTGATACTTTTGGAATGGCGTTCCTTAGCGTTCTCTATTGCAGTTTTGTAGACAATGCCCCAACACCCTCCAAAAAGATCGCTGGGGTTGTGCAAAGGTTTTCCGGGGTCCTTCCATATACTTCTGAGCTGCTTTGATTGTTTAATATAGGGGCCTTAATAATTAGAATAGGGTTTCGGGGCCCATTTTGTTATGATTATAATAAAGAACCACCAAAATAGTATTGGTAATTATTTAGGCCCCTGCACTACTTACTATTGGGCTGTTGAAACTCCGCGAAGCAGTTTATCCACCCTAAACGCGGGCTCTCATCCAGCAGCTCCCAACCGATAGCAACAAGCGATCTGCAAGACCCCATCGCAAGGACCCTACCATCATCTGCACGATCATGAAGGCCTGTTTCGCAGGTTTCAAGTGCTTGGGGTTCTTGGGGTCGCCCTGAACCCTAAACCCTAAGCCCTAAACCCTAAACCCTAAACCCTAAACCCTAACCCCTAAACCCTAAACCCTAAACCCTAAACCCTAAACCCTAAGCCCTAAGCACCCCTAAACCCTGAACCCTGAAGTCTCCCGGTCAGCAGGGTGACCAGTTTCAGGTTTCGGCTTTTCGGGTTTTTGGGGGGTTTAGGGGGTTTAGGGGGTTTAGGGGGTTCAGGGGGTTTAGGGGGTTTTGGGGGTGTGGGGAGTTTGCCGTGTACTATAGAAGCCTTTCCAATATTATTCCTGAGGGTTCCTTATTATAGTTATACTATAAAGGAGCCCAGCACCTTGTTCTAATAATTAAGGCGCCTAAATTAAATTCTTATCATACCCTGTATAACCCTTTTACAGGAACCCTTAAAG